AACAGCTTTAAGACTCAGTCTGTTCTCAGTTTAGTTCACACAGGAACGGTCTTTACAGTACGAACAGGGCTAACAGGGCTAACAGCGCTAACAGTATGAACAGTGCTAACATTGCTAACAGCCCTAGCAGTACTAACAGTATTAAAAGCGCTAACAATGCTAACAGCGGCTGTGGCTCAGGAGTTAGAGCGGGTTGGCCGTTAATCGTAAGGTCGGCGGTTCAATCCTCCAGGCTGCATGTCGAAGTGTCCTTGGGCAAGATACTGAATCCCGAATTGCCCCTGGCAGCTGAACCGCCAGTGTAAGAATGTGAAAAGACTAGAAAGGCGCTATACAAATACGGAGCATTTAGCAGCACTAACATTACTAACATTATGAACAGTGCTAGCAGCACTAAAAATATGAACAGTGCTAACATTGCTAACAGTGCTAGCAGTACTAAAAATATGAACAGTGCTAACAGTGCTAGCAGTACTAAAAATATGAACAGTACTAACAGTATGAACAGTATGAACAGTGCTAACAGTGCTAGCAGTACTAACCATATGAACATTGCTAACAGTGCTAGCAGTACTAAAAATATGAACAGTGCTAACATTGCTAACAGTGCTAGCAGTACTAAAAATATGAACAGTGCTAACATTGCTAACAGTGCTAGCAGTACTAAAAATATGAACAGTGCTAACATTGCTAACAGTGCTAGCAGTACTAAAAATATGAACAGTGCTAACATTGCTAACAGTGCTAGCAGTACTAAAAATATGAACAGTATGAACAGTGCTAACAGTGCTAGCAGTACTAACAGTATGAACAGTGCTAACAGTGCTAGCAGTACTAACCATATGAACAGTGCTAACAGTGCTAGCAGTACTAAAAATATGAACAGTGCTAACATTGCTAACAGTGCTAGCAGTACTAAAAATATGAACAGTGCTAGCAGTACTAACAGTATGAACAGTGCTAACAGTGCTAGCAGTACTAACAGTATGAACAGTGCTAACAGTGCTAGCAGTACTAAAAATATGAACAGTACTAACAGTATGAACATTGCTAACAGTGCTAGCAGTACTAACAGTATGAACATTGCTAACAGTGCTAGCAGTACTAAAAATATGAACAGTGCTAGCAGTACTAACAGTATGAACAGTGCTAGCAGTACTAACAGTATGAACAGTGCTAACAGTGCTAGCAGTACTAACCATATGAACATTGCTAACAGTGCTAGCAGTACTAAAAATATGAACAGTGCTAGCAGTACTAACAGTATGAACAGTGCTAACAGTGCTAGCAGTACTAACAGTATGAACAGTGCTAACAGTGCTAGCAGTACTAACAGTATGAACAGTGCTAACATTGCTAACAGTGCTAGCAGTATGAACAGTGCTAACATTGCTAACAGTGCTAGCAGTATGAACAGTGCTAACATTGCTAACAGTGCTAGCAGCAGTTGTGGTTGTGTTCTGATGAGGAACTGTTTGTGTGTTTCAGTCTTGAGTACCAGCAGCCCAGCATCGTGCAGGGGTGAGTATCGTTCTCTGCTGCTGTTTCTCGTCGCCGGTGTAGTGTGTTTGTTAATGATGTCACTTTGTGTCTGTGGCAGTAGTCGTACCGACGTGGTGACGGTGACGCCCTGGTTGGCTCCCATCGTCTGGGAGGGAACCTACAACCCACAGCTTCTTGACAGCATCTACAGACCGCAGAACATCAGCATCGCGGCCACCGTGTTCGCTGTCGGAAAGTAAGTATCCCACGCCGTCCTGAACGCAGCATTTTACTTTTGACCCGGAGGTGACCCATGTAACCCTCTGGACAGGTACACCAAGTTCCTGAGAGACTTCCTGGAGACCGCAGAGCAGCACTTCTTCGTTGGTTTCAAGGTGCACGTTTACGTGTTCACCGACCGGCCGAAGGAGGTGCACCAAGTCAAAATGGCCGCCGGCAGACAGGTACAGTGACGATCCCGAGTAGCTCCGCCTGTTGGGGTGGTGGGTTGTTTTCTGAGATGAACTCTGCCTGCCGTGTTTTAAAGCTGTTCAAAGAGCAGCGGTTGACTCCGCCTCCTCGCCCCTGCAGCTGACGGTGGTGCCGGTGCCCGGCTCCAACCGCTGGCAGGAGATCTCTGCTCGAAGGATGGAGCTGATCCAGACGCTGATAGAGGAGAAGCTCCAGAACCACATGGACTACATCTTCTGTCTGGACGTCGACTCCAAGTTCCACGGCCGCTGGGGGACCGAGTCACTGGGCGCGCTGGTCGCTGTGATACATCCAGGTCAGGAAACCCCAAACGTGTGTCCCCGCCCCCAAAAACCCTCAGCGTGTTGCTGCCAGCTTCTGTTAGCGTCCCGCTGTGGCTCCCAGAGCCGTTTAAAATCATAAAGTCTGAATGTAGAGTTCTGCTGAGCGTCCGCTCGGCGCTGGAGACGCTGACTCAGCGGCCAAAACCTGGTCCGGATGTCTGCGGTGCAGCTAAAAGGTTCCAGGGCTCTTTAACTACCTACTTATTCTTAAGAACAGTAAGTTGGTGATTAAATAAAGAATGTTGATTTAAAAACGTTTCATAAAGGCCCGGGTGACGTGATGATGATGTTGCAAGGCGGAGGGATACTCGCCTGCAGCTGAGCGGCGTCCTGACTAAATGTTCCTGTTTATTCTGAAGTGGTCAGAATGTTTGTCCAGGTGAAGGCTGATCTCACCTTTATGTCTGCAGGTTACTACAAGGACGACCGCAGCAAGTTCCCCTACGAGCGCCGGCACGAGTCCACGGCCTACGTGGCTCCTGGGAAGGGGGACTTCTACTACTGTGGGGGGGCGTTTGGAGGCCTCCTGCAGGAAGTACACCGTCTCGCCAACACCTGTCGCACCAACTTTGAGGCTGACGCCAAGAAAGGCATCGAGGCTGCCTGGCAGGAGGAGAGTCACCTGAACAGGTAGGCGGGGGGGGAGAGTCACCTGAACAGGTAGGCGGGGGGGAGAGTCACCTGAACAGGTAGGCGGGGGGGGGGGGGGATCACCTGAACAGGTAGGCGGGGGGGGGGGGGGATCACCTGAACAGGTAGGTGTGGGGGGGGAGATCACCTGAACAGGTAGGCGGGGGGGTTGTGGACCCTCACTGTCTTTCTAGTGACTTCCTGTTCCTGTGTGTTCAGGTACATGTTGATCAACAAGCCCACTAAGGTGCTGTCACCTGAGTACCTGTGGCAGGACTTCAAACCCAGAAACCCAGAGGTTCGCATCATCAGATTCTCTGGAGTCATCAAGAACTACGCCGACATCCGGCCCAACGTCTGAGTCTGACTCTGTTCTGGACAGGACTGGAACTGGACAGCACTTCCTGCCGTCAGTGTCACGACCCGTCCCCCTTCCAGACTCAGGGCCTAATGTTGAACCTCTACTGAGCGCGTGCAACTCTTCTGTAATACCACATATTCGGTCGTCCAGCTCAGCTTTAACCCTCCCTGTTCCTCGCTCGCATCAGCGCCTGCTTTTCCCTGCCAGCTTCTGTCCGTTTTCCTGCAGCTGAACTATGAAACTCCGGTGGTCTGCACTCACGGCGGGCCTGAAGACCTGCCGTGTGGCGCCGACTGAAGCTCCAGCTCGGTGAACACTAACAAGATGTGAAGCGCTTGTCTCTGGATTTCACATGAATGTATGTAAAGATTCTTTAAGGTCAGTTTTAGGGCTTTTGCTGCTTATTTGAATTCTTAACTAACCTTTAGGGGTATTAAGTAAAGACGGTCCTCCAGCACAGCGATGAACCTGCTGGAGTCTCATCACAGTCAGGTTTCCACTCGTGCCTCTGAACACACTGCTGGGTGCGTCATGTTACCCGGCTGGTTCCCTCTCTATGCTAAGCTAAGCTAACAGGAATGGAAAGGCTTTCTTTGAGCAATGATGATATTAACAGTAGTTTTCCACTGGACAGAGATGAATTCAGTTTACAGTTTGGGTAATAAACACAGCTGACTCATGAAACCGGCGTCCTGTCTTCACTCCGTCTCTCAGAATTGTTACCCTCACGTTGTTTAGAAGTTGTACCAGAGCAGCTTTACATGGTTTCATCTTCAAGAAACAGACTGCGCATGGCTGCACCTCCCTTTTAGCTACAGGGAACCCGCGGGGTCTTGAAAGTATTTAAAAAGTCTTAAATTTTGTTCGTTTCGTTGAATTTTTTCTTGTCCTTTTGTAGGATTTAATTAATACCGTAACGTCATAAATGAGACTTTATAATTTACTCCGTCTGGTGTGACTCTGATGTTATCCGGCAGTACAGGTAACCTGACTGTTTACGTCGGCTTTACGCTCTGGACTGTGACGTGTTCGATGCACGAGCTCTGTGTGAATCAGTCAGATGTTAGAAAAGAAAACGTTAGCTCGTCGACTCAGAATGGGCAGGTGTCTGAAGTTCAGAAAGCCAGAGATACGAGGCTGAGGGCGGTGGCGCTGAGGTTAGAGCAACAGCTGATCTGGAAGAACCGCTGCAGGTTCCCGGTCAGTGAAAGATACAACAGCAACAGAGAGACAGGTGTGTGTGAGACCAGGACGCGTCTGTGTGTCGGCGCCGCTGCTGTAGGCTAACGTTATGTGAATGGAAACATCAAACTAACGCACATTAAACTTACATCACCAGATGCACCGATCACAGGAACGAGGGGAAAACAAACCGGGGCCCGACTCCTTATCCCCGCTGCTTTCAAACCAAAACTATATAATACTGTATTTACTTTACCTTATCTAGCCAATGTGAAACTAACTGCAACTACTCATAACACACAACCTTTCTGATTTCAGCCCTTAACAGTTATTAGTACACAAATATTAGATTCATTTCATAGGTGTCATTTACACTGGGGTCACTGGGGACACTGAAATCACTGGGGTCACTGGGGTCACTGGGGACACTGGGGTCACTGGGGACACTGAAATCACTGAGATCACTGGGGTCACTGGGGACACTGAAATCACTGGGGACACTGGGGTCACTGAGATCACTGAGATCACTGGGGTCACTGAGATCACTGAGATCACTGGGGTCACTGGGGTCACTGTGGATACTGGGGTCACTGGGGACACTGAAATCACTGGGGTCACTGGGGTCACTGTGGATACTGGGGTCACTGGGGACACTGAAATCACTGGGGTCACTGTGGATACTGGGGTCACTGGGGACACTGAAATCACTGGGGTCACTGGGGACACTGAAATCAGTGGGGACACTGGGGTCACTGGGGACACTGAAATCACTGAGATCACTGGGGTCACTGGGGACACTGAAATCACTGGGGACACTGGGGTCACTGGGGACACTGAGATCACTGTGGACACTGGGGTCACTGGGGTCACTGAAATCACTGTGGATACTGGGGACACTGAGATCACTGTGGACACTGGGGTCACTGGGGACACTGAAATCACTGGGGACACTGGGGTCACTGGGGACACTGAGATCACTGAGATCACTGGGGTCACTGAAATCACTGTGGATACTGGGGTCACTGGGGACACTGAAATCACTGGGGACACTGTGGATACTGGGGTCACTGTGGATACTGGGGTCACTGGGGACACTGAAATCACTGGGGTCACTGTGGACACTGGGGTCACTGTGGACACTGGGGACACTGAGATCACTGGGGTCACTGTGGATACTGGGGTCACTGGGGTCACTGGGGACACTGAAATCACTGGGGACATTTTTCACTCAAAATTTGGAATCGGGTTTGTATTTCAGCATTAAATATTTGATCAAAGTTAAATATTGTGAATCGTGCGTGTGAGCTAAGCGTGTCATCACACCCCTAATCTGAACCCTTATGTCCCACCACTTTTCAACACAGTGACCTCCTTGATTCATTTTATCTTATCAAAGTACAAACACACCCCAAAGCTATAGTTTGTTAAATATGAATGTATTATAATAAAATATTTTATTAAATTCATGTAACTTAGTAAATAATTTTCTCGGGCTTAAAATTTATACAGATTTTCCGTTAAACGGCAGTGAAGTAGGTATTAAATTTCATCCTAGGTGGGTCTTAACTTTGAGAGCTACAGAGTGAAGCATCTCACTTCTATTGGATCTTTGGGCAGGGCAGCCAACACGCTTGCAACACGCCACGTAGGGACGCTTGGTCCAGACCCCTCGGCGGAGGGCCCCTCACAATCAAGTTAGCGAAGCTAAAGCTCTGCAACATCCGGTTAAACTTTCAAAATAAAACTAGCGTTGTGAAACATTGTAGTTTGGTCAGGGTTAGGCACCAAAAACAATTATAAGACTTACTTCATTACTTGGTTGGGTTTGGGCACTGAAATGATTTGGTGAGGTTTAAGAAGAGGTCACGGTTTGGCTGAAAATAACAACGACACCTTTTGAACTAATTTAAGCCGAGTAACGTTACTTGCCAAACTTACATAAAAACATTCGATGCTGACTTTTGGTTTCATACGGGGAACAAACACCAGTCTCCAGACTGAAAGTCTGTGTGTGTCATCAGAATAGCAGTGGTTCTGGATCTGGTGATTGTGGATGATCTGGCCCGGTGGGAGCGCACACACAAAATCTGAGCCCATTTAGGGACCCTCATGTCTGAACCGCTGAGCTCAAGAAGGATTAAAATGTATTTCCAAAGCCACGCGCCTGTCTCCTCATGTTGGGTTGTAGATTCCCTCCCAGACGATGGGAGCCAACCAGCTGTGTGTCAACCCTGTGATTCGGATCCGGTCCAGTCTTGGTTGGATCCCTCTCGGCCCGTTCTGCACCGTTCCACCAGCTGCCAAACAAACTGCACTGACTTCTACCCAAAGTTTCTGGACTCTGGACTGGGGACACTGGGGTCAGGACTCTGACTCTGAGGTCAGGACTCTGAGGTCAGGGCTCTGACTCTGAGGTCAGGACTCTGACTCTGAGGTCTGGACTCTGAGGTCAGGGCTCTGACTCTGAGGTCAGGGCTCTGACTCTGTGGTCAGGACTCTGAGGTCAGGGCTCTGACTCTGAGGTCTGGACTCTGAGGTCAGGGCTCTGAGGTCAGGGCTCTGAGGTCAGGGCTCTGAGGTCAGGACTCTGAGGTCTGGACTCTGAGGTCTGGACTCTGAGGTCTGGACTCTGAGGTCTGGAGGAAGAAGCCAGTCTGATGGCGGTAAAGTTATTTAAATGTAGGTGTGAAAATGTTGCTGTTGTTTAATAATCTCATCATCACAAACGGCCGCCTTCCTGTTTAGCCCCTCTTTATCTACAGATGTGACTTCCTGTCTGGCTGCTCAGAACAGGAAATGACACCAAGTCCCCACACAGGCGCCGGGGGCCCTCTTGGGGCCCCAAGGTAATCGATAGCTGTGATGTCCCAGCTGTCCTCGGAGCTGCTTCGTGATGCCTTGAGGGACTGTCGGTTTTCTCACCTGTCGGGGCTCAATCTGTAAGCTGAACCCTTCTGAGCTGCTTCCTGTCTGCGTCAAAATAAAAGTCCCTCAGGTGAGTCTCATCGGATTCACCTGATTATGATGCTTATTATGATTTTAATACTGACGTCTGTAGTCTGGTGAGTGTAACTCACCGCTGTGGTAAATAAATACAGCTGTACAGGTGCATTTCAGATCGGGCTTTATCGCCAGGTATGTGTGCACATACGAGGAGTCTGGCTCTGGTTGTACAACGCTCGCCATGAGCGTACTCATATTTACACACTATAAACAAAACAGACAGATTGAGACAACAGTGCAGAGAGCAGAGTGCAAAGAATGCAGGAGTGAATTATTATTATTATGTACATGTCGGAGGTGGATGTGATATACAGGTGCACACAGTGTGGTGAGTACAAAGGACGCTGGAATAAATAAGTGCAGGTGCTGTACATGAGGGAGGTTGGGTAAACGGTAGATACAAATGAGACAGCTCTGAAAGAGAGAACGATGAATAAATAATAAGTAAACAGGTGGCTGATTAGAGACAGAGATACTGGGTATTATTTGTTATGATTACATCACTAATGATGTCACCAACTTTGCAGCCAAATATTAAACACTACACCAGGAGCCGCAGCGATATTACTGAGCGCTCCAGCTGCAGTCATTTCTCTCAGCGTCCTCTTCTCTGCCGTCAGCAGCAGCTGCTGAGCGCCGTTGGCTCTCCATAACCAGACCCTTTTAAACTCCCTGCTTCCTTTTGGTTTCGCTTCTTTAGACGTGTTGGGCTCCGCGGTCAAGTTAGCAAGAATAAACATGCAACTTCTTGTTAGATTTTCAAAATAAAGCTACGTGAGGATGCTGTCAAAGAGGACTCCTACGTTGCGGATGTGTGGGGATGGAGACAGGGTGGAGCTGTTGATGGAAAGGCTGAAGTTGTTGGTGTGTTTTGTGAGCGATTTGGGGCCGATGACGATCATGTCAGATTTATTGTAACTGAGCTGTAAGAAGTTGGTTTGCATCCAGGTTTGTATGTCGGTGAGGCAGCTGGTCAGAGTTGCAGAGGTAACTGTGGTGATGGATTTGGTGGAGATGTAGATCTGGACGTCATCGGCGTAGTGGTGGAAGCGGAGACCATATCTACGTATGATGAACAGGAGAGGACCGAGCACAGAGCCTTGGGGGACGCCTTGTGACAGAGGAGCAGTGGAGGAGGAGCAGTTATTGATGTTGATGAGCTATTGTCTGTTGGTGAGGTAGGAGCGGAGCCAGGAGAGTGCAGCGGATAATATTGGAGTAGGTTTCCAGTCGGGAGAGAAGAGTGGAGCGGTTGATGGTGTCGAAGGCTGCAGTGAAGTCGAGCGTGATTAGGATGGTGAGGTGGCCGGAGTCGGCGGAGAGGAGGAGGTCATTCAATTCAATTCAGTTCAATTTTATTTATATAGCGCCAAATCACAACAACAGTTATCTCACAGCGCTTTTCATAAAAGAGCAGGTCTAGACCGTACTCTATGATGTTATTTACAGAAGCCCAACAGTTCCCACCAAGAGCAGCACTAGGAGACAGAGGCAAGGAAAAACTTCCTTTAAGAGGCAGAAACCTCGAGCAGAACCATGACTCAGGGTGGGCGGCCATCTGCCTCGACCGGTAGGGAGAGGGAGAGGGAGAGGGAGAGGGAGAGGGAGAGAGAGAGGGAGAGAGAGAGGGAGAGAGAGAGGGAGAGAGAGAGGGAGAGAGCCTACACAATATACACACAGAGGTACAGACAGTGAAGGTAATGTTGCTATAGACTAAATGAAAAATGGTACAGATATTTATAATAGTGTTAATGGTAACCATCGTAATGTTAATGATTATAATAACAATAATAACAATAAGACTAGTAACAATAGTCGTTGCAGCAGAGGGTGTCGAGCAGGAACACGGGGGCAGCAGGTCGCCCGCAACCACAGATCCAGACTCCACAGCTCCAGAGCCAGAAAACCTGCAGGAAGTGATAGGAGAGAGGAGAGGGACGAGAAAGCACAAGACTACCAGAAAGGGGAGAAGTTGTGTTAGTAACATGCAATAATGGGATGAGGTTGCATACAGAGGGAGAGAAAGTAGAGGAGAGAGGAGCTCAGTGCATCATGGGAAATCCCCCGGCAGTCTAGGCCTATAGCAGCATAACTAAGGGATGGTTCAGGACTCACCTGAGCCAGCCCTAACTATAAGCTTTATCAAAGAGGAAAGTCTTAAGCCTACTCTTAAATGTGGAGATGGTGTCTGCCTCCTGAACCCAAACTGGAACCTGGTTCCACAGGAGAGGAGCTTGATAGCTGAACGCTCTGGCTCCTAGTCTACTTTTGGAGACTCTAGGAACCACAAGTAACCCTGCATTCTGGGAGCGCAGTGCTCTGGTGGGGTAATAAGGTACTATGAGCTCTTTAAGATAAGATGGTGCCTGACCATGAAGAGCTTTGTAGATAAGAAGAATGATTTTAAATTCTATTCTGGATTTTACTGGAAGCCAATGCAGAGAAGCTAAAACAGGAGAAATATGATCTCTTTTCCTGGTTCCTGTCAGAACACGTGCTGCAGCATTCTGGATCAGCTGAAGAGTCTTAATGGACTTTTTCGAGCAGCCTGTTAATAAGGAATTGCAGTAATCCAGCCTAGAAGTAACAAATGCATGGACTAGTTTTTCTGCATCATTTTTGGACAGGATGTTCCTGATTTTCGCAATATTACGTAGGTGAAAAAAGGCGGTCCTTGAAATTTGCTTAATGTGAGACTTAAACGACATGTCCTGATCAAAGATAACTCCAAGATTCCTCACAGTGGTGCTGGAGGCCAGGGCGATGCCATCCAGGGAAACTATATCTTTAGATAATGCGTCACGGAGGTGCTTAGGCCCCAGAGCAATAACTTCAGTTTTATCTGAGTTTAACATGAGAAAATTACAGGTCATCCAGGTTTTAACATTCTGAAGGCACATTTGAAGTTTAGCTAACTGATGAGTTTCATCTGGCTTGATCGATAGATATAACTGAGTATCATCTGCATAACAATGAAAGCTTATGGAATGTTTCCTGATAATATTGCCTAAAGGAAGCAACTCATTGGTTATTTTGAGGAGGGCTGTTTCAGTGCTGTGTTGTGAGCGGAATCCAGATTGAAATGGTTCAAACTGGTTGTTAGTGGTGAGGTGGGTTTGAATGTGAGCAGCGATGACACGTTCCAGTATTTTTGATAGGAAGGGGAGATTGGAGATGGGTCGGAAAGTGGACATGATGTCGGGGTTGAGACCAGGTTTCTTGAGGATGGGGGGTGACAGCTGCAACTTTGAGTGTTGTGGGGACTGATCCAGATGTGAGGGAGGAATTAATGATTTTGATGATGAGTGGGGAGATGGATGGAGGGCAGGTCTTGATTAGGGATGATGGGATGGGGTCTAAGCTGCAGGTGGAGTTATTTATTTTGTGGTGAATTGTG